CCACTCCCTGGCCGTCTTCCCCTTGATGGAATCCACTGCTCGCAGGTCTGCTCCTGGAGACACCGGGATGCAGAGAGCATCACCGCAGTGTCCCACCCTGGCCCACCCCATGGCGCAGGTCCAAGTGCAGGGTGAGCAGCAATGCCACCCATTCCCAAAACATCCCAGAAGGTCCCTGGGGAGATGCTCACCGGCCAGGAGCAGGGCGGCCACGCAGTCCTGCCGTCCCTGCACCGCAGCCTTCATCAGCGCCGTCAGGCCCCGGGGGTCTCGCTTGTCCACCTCCAGCGCGGGGTAGTAGTTGAGGAGGTAGTTGACGATGGTGATGTGTCCTTAACAGCCAGAGAGAAGCTGCGTTAGGGTTTCGACAGTTAATGAGTGATAACTGCTGATGCCTGTTGGAGAAAGAGTATTTAGCAACCGCATCTCGTGAGGATGAAGACACAGAAACTTGGAGGGATCAGGACTGAAAGGGTTTGGGTTTATTTTGTTTTGGGTTTGGCCGTGTAGGGGACAGCGCTGGCGCCCCAGCTGCTTCAGCAGAGAATGCAGAAAAGAGTCCAAAAATGCAAAACAAGTCATCAATTCCAGCAAGGATAAAGTGGGAATAAAGGGTGATCCCCACTTTGAGACCCTCCTCCTTTCCCCTGCAGTTAATCAGGGCAGAGGGAGCCGGACTCTTCCGCCGTAAGCAGGAAAACCATCGTGGCCGGAGATTAAACGTGACATGCCAGCTCGGACCTTGCGTGCAGGTAAATCACTGCAGCTAACGGGGCTTTTCCAGAGCACGTGGGGCAGCTCCGGCTCAGCTTTGCTGCTCGACGTGACTGCTTGGGCAGGACGAGTTGCAAGAAAACGTTGCTGTAGGAATCCCCATTTTTGCATCATCTACCCAGTTTTTAAAATGGTGTTAAGAGGGACCATAAACTTAGATGGGGAGGATCACGTTCCTTGGGACCCTCAGCTTTCCCAACGGCTCATTTTAGGGTTTTTGGAAGGGAAGCACAGGGGGTCACGTCACTTCGAGGGGTCTCACGGGGGCTGCCCCGTGCCGACGCGAGCGCGGTGCCTACCTGCCTGGGCTGCCATCATGAGGGCCGTGTTCCCGTCCTTGTCCTGCTGGTTGATGTTTATGTAGGGGCACTTCTGCAGCAGAGGCACGATGTCCACGAAGCCCTTGTAGCAGGCGACCATCAGCCCGTTCTGGAGAGGGGCAGCGCTCAGCGCCGGGGCCGGCACTGCACCATCCTCCCCACCACGGTGCTCCCCATGGCCACCCCACTTCTCCCCCCGCCCCAAACCAGGCAGGCCCAGGATGGGAGGAGAGATGAGGTTCAATCCTAGGATCAATCCCAGGACACCCATCCCTTGTCAAAGCCATCCCACCCAGGACTCTCCCTCCTCCTCCTCCTGCTTTAGCAACCACCATCCTTCAGGATTTGCCTATTCC